ATATATATATATATATATATATATATATATATATATATATATATATATATATATATATATATATATATATATATATATATATAATGAAGTAAACTATTCAAAATATCTAATCTAATCAATGCTAAAAAAATTTTCAAGTAACACGAATTTTTTTATATTTTTTCTAATAAATTGAAACTTAAGGCTATGTTTGAGAGTTTGGATGGGAGGGGAGGGCTTCCAATTTTTTTTTTTTAAATATAAAGAAATCTTTAATATTTTTTGAAAAAATGATTTTATTTAGAATGATAAAATAATATTTATCATTAATGTATTTTTAGTTTTTAAAATACTATAACAACAAAAGTTATATTTGAACAAATAGATTAAGCCTCCCAAAATCCTTTCCAATACAAATTTTGAATTCCTTCAAATTATAGAGTTTTTGATGTTGTAAAGAAAAATAAACCCTACAAAATCCTCCTAAGTAAAATCTTTATACTCTTTTCACTTAATCTTATCTATTTTTCAAAGTTATCCCCTCTCTTTCCCTCCAAACTCCCAAACATAGCTTAAAAGAACTTTTTCAAATTCATTGCTCTGTTAGAATTAGGGCTGGTCTATGAACCAAATCGAACCGTAAATCTAAATTAAATTGGAGTTAAAATAACTGAACTATTACATTTGATTAGTGAACCAAATTTATATTTTACTAATAATTCTATAACGGAACCAATAAACAATGAACTAGACTCAAACTAATTTGGAGCTGAACCGTGCTTAATAAACATACAAAACATAAAATCAATTATCACATACAAAACATAACAACTTAAATACTATAACATATAACTGTTGAGGGATACTATGAACATTAATACATAGTGTAGGAATAAACACCTTTGTGAAAGACATATCACTTCTTCACCTAAAATATTAAAGCAATAGGTGAGTGGGATCTCCCACTTATATATGTTTAAGTCTCCACATTCTTATTCGATGTGAGACTATTTTCTCAATTACTCACACTTATTATATTATTCTAACAATAATGAAAAACTTGATGTATCATAGCGTCATTTGAAATTATTTAAAGTTCACTTTGCAATGCTTCAGCAAACCCTTCTCTTTACCACACATGTATAATGTATAAATTTAAATGGAGTATTCTAAATCGAAAGTTTATGTTTGATTAGTGTAATCATGCTTAAATTGTTTAAATGTAGTTTTTGATTTGTAATTATTAGGTTATTATATGGGTTGTTTTATTTTTTTATATTTAATTGTTACAAATTTAAAATAGTTTTTTATGAAAAAATTCAAAAATAAATATATCAGTTCAACTTTGTCAACAAATGGTTTATTTAGTTTTTGTTAACAAATTGTTTGATTAGAAAAACGGTCTTTTAATAGTTTGATACAGTTGAATTCTCAACTGATATACTGAATTTATAATTTTGGTTTAGTTTGGTTTTAACCAAATTGAAATAGTTTAGTTCGGTTTGGATAATCTTTTATTATGGTTTGATTTAGCTCGGTTCAGTTTTCAGTCAGAAGTGTACCATGAACGATCCTAATTAAAATATTACTGGAATGTTGATGTGTTGCAACTTAAATTATAGTACTCCATCTATTTTAAAATAAATGTCATTTAAGGTTTTTGCACAAAGATTAAGAAATGCAATAATAGTGTCATCAAATATTACATTTTTACTAAATTAATTTTATTAATATATTAAAAATAGTGTATATAGTAATAATTAAATGACACAATTGAAAAAATAATAAGCATTTCTACATTAAAAATTGATAATGACTTCTATTTTAAAATAATTTTTTCTCTAAAACAACACTCATTTTAAAACGGAATAAGTAACAATTAAGATTAAGAACTACTAATAATTCAAAACAAAACAATTGAAATATCCGTGCGTTCGCACGGGTATTATTGTGGTATGTACGCTTTTATTTTTCAAATATAATAAAAATACAAATAAGAAAAATTAAACTATTTTACCAAAAAAGTTTATTATTTTAAAAAAATAACATATTTATAAAATAAAAATAAAATTGTTTTATAAAAATTATTTTGCATATCATAATTTTTTCATATTTTATCTTTAAAAATATTGTATTTTAAATTAAAAATAATTTTAAAATAAATATATATAATTAAGAAACAACATATTTTCCTGTGTTCAGATTCAAATATTATTTTTATTTTTATTTTTTTGAATTATACAAAAAATATAATAATTTGTTCCTTCGCACGGATTTTGGTATGGTTACCCATGCGTTTACACGGTACTCTTGTATTTTTCGTATATTCGCACGAGTATTAGTGCGGTATGCACGCTATTATTTTTAAAATATAATAAAAATATAAATAAAAAAAACAAAATTATTTTACAAAGTAGTATGTTATTTTTAAAAAGAAAGACTTATTTTTAATATAAAAATAAAATTATTTTATAAAAATTGTTTTACATTAATAATCTTTATATATTATCTTTAAAAAATTGTATCTTAAATTAAAAATCATTTTAAAATTAAAATATTTGATACATAAATAATAAAAAATAATACTTTTTTATTTGTGTTTGGATTAATATTTTATTTTTACTTTTATATTTTTTATTTGTATAAAAAAATGTAACAATCATGAATTAGTCCAATTTCTAGTATAGATACTCATGTGTTCGTACAAATACTTGTGTGATTTGTACTTTTATTTTTTAAATATAATAAAAATGTAAATACAAAAAACAAAATTATTTTACTAAAAGAATTTATTATTTAAAAAAAAACATATTTTTATAATAAAAAAAATTGTTTTACCATAATCATTTTACATCAATAATATATATTTCAATTTTCTCATATACTATTTTAAAATATATAATATATTAAATTAAAAATAATTTCAAAATAAAAATATTAGCAACATAAATAATTAAAAAATAACACATTTTTCTCGTATCTAGATTCATACAATATTTTAAATATATTTTGATTTATTTTCTTTAATTGTACAAAAAATATAATAAATAGTGAATTTGCACGATTCTGGTATGATTACACGTACGCTCACATAGTTCTGATATGTTATCCATGTGTTTGCATGAGTACTGATGTAGTACGCACGTGTTTGTTTTCCAAATATAATAAAAATGCAAATAAAAAATAAAATTATTTTACCAAAAGACTTTATTATTTTTAAAAGAAAGACATATTTTTAAAATAAGAACATAATCATTTTACAAAAATTATTTTACAACAATAATATATATTTCAATTTTCTCATATATTATCTTAAAAAATATTGTATCTTAAATTAAAAATAATTTCAAAATAAAAATATTAGCAACATAAATAATTAAAAAATTACATATTTTTATCGTATTTGAATTCATATATTATTTTGAAAATATTTATATTTATTTTTTTTAATTGTATAAAAAATTATAATAAGCGGTGAATTCATACGAATTCTGGTATGATTACTCGTATGTTCACACGGTACTAATATGTTATCGGTGCGTTAGCACGGGTAATGAAGTGATACGCACGTTTTTGTTTTTAAAATATAATAAAATTAAATAAAAAGATAAAATTTATTTATCAAAATAATGTATTATTTTTAAAAGAAAGACATATTATCTTAAAAAATATTGTATCTTAGATTAAAAATAATTTCAAAACAAAAATATCAGTAATATAAATAATAATAAAATATATTTTTCTCGTGTTTAAATTCACATATTATTTTAAATATTTACTTTTATTTCTTTAATCGTACAAAAAAAATATAATAACTCGTAAATTTGCACGAATTTTAATATGGATATGGGTGTGTTTATATAAATACTGGTGCATTACTTGCATATATTACTAAAGTGTAATAAAAATGAAAAGAAAGAAAATAAACATTCATGAATAAAATAGTTGATTATTTATAAAAGAGATAATTAGTTGGTGTTTATAGTTTTTCGATATATAAAAATATTTTAATTAAAAGTTTATTTTATTATTAAAAATGGTCATGATAATGAGTATAAATATGATTTTATAAAAGAAATTGTAAAAAGAAATACAAAGACAATTAAAAATAAATAATTTTATACATATGACATTTGTTATTCGCAGAAGTACAAAACATGTGCCTATATTTCTTTCGAAAATAAAAATATTTGAATTTAGTTTAATTGTTCCCCTATATAAATAGTCATTTTATATTGGTATTGATATATTTATTTCCCGTTTATAAAAATATTTGAATAAATAATATATTTTTTATTTCTAAAAACATTAAGATCAATAATAAATTTATTAATTGTATATATTATCCTTTAAAAAAACATCAAATAAATAAATATTAAAAAAAAATAGAATAACACTTTTCACTGATACTAAAGTTATTTATTCTAAAGTTTATATTGAAATAGGATAAATACAAATTTATTTAATAAAATTATAATTTAATTTTAAAATGAGAATCAATGTCTATTTGAAAATCAAAAATCAAATCAAGTCATTTCATTTAATATAAATAAAAATCAAATCAAAAGTTAATAATTATAAACTATTGAAAAAAATTGAATCAAATCATTTTTATTTAATATAAATTAAAATAAAATCAAAAGTTAATAATTATAAATTATTGAAAAAAATCAACGTCTAATTAGATTTATTCTAAGAAAGTTTCTCACATATCATTATTATCTATGTCACCCTTATATTGTCATACAAAATTCAAAGGCAAGGAAATTACTGCTTAACCGAAACTTGAACGCAGTGGTTGTTGAACAGTTTAATTTGACAATAACATGTCGCAAATTTCGAACCCTTGATTCTATCACGAGAGATATATCACTTGTAACATAGTAATGCTAGAGTGAAACAGTAACTTAGTCCATTAATATTCAACACCAAATAGTATTACAAACGAGAAGATGAGATTCATACATAGAAGCAGATACTAGTACAAGCTATCTAATTCTAGGGTTACCAAAATGTAAAAACTAAGCCCTCTCGCCTCTGATTCTTCTTGCAAGCTGAATGTCCTTAGGCATGATGGTGACTCTCTTAGCATGAATTGCGCAAAGGTTTGTGTCTTCAAACAGACCAACCAAGTAAGACTCAGCAGCCTCCTGGAGAGCCGAAACGGCACTGCTCTGAAACCTCAGATCTGTCTTGAAATCTTGAGCGATTTCACGAACAAGACGCTGGAAAGGAAGCTTTCGGATAAGAAGCTCAGTGCTCTTTTGGTACTTACGGATCTCTCTCAATGCAACTGTTCCTGGCCTGAATCTGTGTGGCTTCTTCACTCCACCTGTTGCCGGAGCTGATTTCCTAGCCGCCTTCGTTGCGAGTTGCTTCCGAGGAGCCTTGCCGCCGGTCGATTTGCGGGCTGTTTGCTTCGTACGAGCCATTGAGAGAAACTTCTAGAAAAGATTGATTTTGGGATGAGATTGATAGAAGAGAGATAATTTCGATGCGATTTGTTAAGGTGTGAGAAAAGGGTTTTATAGAGGTGATTCAATTTGAAATGGATTGAAATTTTAGAGGGAGAAAGGGTTTTCGGAGCGATCCGCGTGAGTGTTGATCTAACGGTTAGGATTCGCTTAAACGATAGCGCGCGGATTCTACTTTTCATGTATTTCACCTTCTATATTGACAACTTAGGCGGCAGATCAGCCTATGCCCAGGCTGTTTACACAAGACTTTTAGGATTCCAGTACGATTTTAAATGTATTAAAAAGTTTTTAAGAAAGAAAATAAAATAATTTGTAGGTCTTAAATAAATAAAAGTTTAATAGATGTTTTAAAGATTTAAGAGAGCATATATAGACAATAAAATAATTGAGCGCAAGGGATTAATAGGTTCTTTCTAAGAAATGAATCTTAGAAAAAAATTTAGTTCAATTTTTTATAGGAATAGTGTTTGGTCAAGCCATATGAAAAAAGAAAAAGAGCATACATAGATTATTTTTTTAAATGGTTATGATTTTCAAATTAAATACCACAATAATCATCCTTCCTCAAAAATTAATCAAAATACTCATGTTTCAAATAAAATAATTTGTATTGAAGAGAAGGTGTTAATGGTAATGGCACATACATTCAAAAAAGAACATAGACGCATATCTCACTGGTACATGTATTGTAAGTCAAAGATGAGGCGGCAATAGGTGTAGTGTATGTGTGTAATAGATTTTTTTTATAAATATGTCATTCAGACTTCGTCACTTTTCACACATCTTCTCATTTTATTCTTAAGTTTTTCTTCGAATTTTATCATAATTATTAAAAGAGATGATCATGTTTGTTATTTGATTCTCACGCTTTCAATGAAAATTCGACTTTGGAACACCCAGACTTTCGAGAATCTTGAGATGAGCTTGATTCGTTGGTTAGACGAGAAGATTAAAGACGGTGAAAATATTAAAAGAATTGATAGGCTTGCTTCAATGTTCAATAATAACGAAGTACGTCGTGTGTGGGAGTCAGTTAAAATTGACAGTGATGTCCCTGTTATAATGATTGAACCAAATGATATTGTTTTGATGGTTGTAATCTCTTAGATCTCTTGTTGTGTTAAGTCATTTTATCTGTTATGTGTGTTCTTGTTTTAGGCGTGTTTGTGTTTGTTTTGTTGTAACTAAAAGTTGTATTCAATATGAAATTTTATGGTTACAAAAAATAAATTACATATCAAGATTGCATACAATAATTATTTTATGGAGCTTGTTCCAATATTGGGATAATATTTTCGTGTGTGTTCGGGCTGACGGCATATACCACGTAACCTAACCGTTTTGTCAGCCGAATTCATTTTGATTTGAATATGTGTGCTGTTAGGGAGACCCTTTTTCTTCCTTCACATATTCTTTGTAGTGTTTTTTAAAACACATGATTTATTCAAATGTCTCTTAATCTCTCATAATGGTATTTATAGCCTACTAAGAGACAATCTTTCATTGTGCTTTACTTGGTTGACCCACTGTCTTCCGGTGAGAAATTTTTGTTAAACCGTGTCATAACTCTGGTTTGCCTTCCATACACTATCGTGACTCATTCCAGTATCAACTTTTGAAATTCTTCGGTCACCACTGCACCGTTGTCGTCGTTGTCGTTAATGTTCCTAGTGACCTTTCGGCAAACTAACCCTACCAGCAAAAGCGCCTCCATCGATACCGACAATATTTCCATTGTCGCACTCGCAACCATGTAACTGTTTTAGATCTGGTCTTAGATTTTATTTTCCACTCGCAAAAAATTGTGATCCAATTCAAACATAGCCTTTTTCACTCGGTTCACGTGATAGTTTCTCTCTCTAGATACTCATGGTTACTCCTCATAACTTTACTCCAAATTATGATGATTTCCTCAGGTGGTATCAGAATAATTAGAACTTAGATTATACTGCTTAGGTTGCACACCCTGGTAATTCATATGTATTCCTTTCTCAATCATCTTCTCTTAGACCTTGGATCCTTAGTTCTGGTGAGTTTGATCATGTTATCGGTAATAAAAGTATTTTCTCCTCCCTCTCTTGTTGGTGTAAGCCCTAGAGGCCAATACTTTTGGTACTTGTATCGAATTATTTATTAATAATAAAAGGCATTTCTTTATTATGTTTGCTTTCCAAAATAATAAAGTCCCTAGAATGGTTTATTGGTTTAATGAAATGTTAAGTGTGACTTAATCATGAGATCCCATTAAACATAAGACACTATTCTTAAAGTATCCGTAGTCAAGCTTTAATGTGAAGTGGGATAACATTAAAGTATTAAGATTATTATGAAGATAGATTGATGATCACATCTCATGGATCATAGATAAGGAGTTATCAAGTCTTGACATAGGTATGAATATTAGGAGTAATATTTATACTGGATTGACCCGCTATGAGAATACTACATAGAATGTTATGCAAAGTGTCATAAGTTATTCTCATGATGATAATGGTGTATACCACCCTTCGACCTGAAACCACTATGGACCCTAGATGTAGAGTCAAGTACTTTATTGTTGATCAAACGTCATCCGTAACTGGATGACTATAAAGACGCTTGATGGATACTTCACAAAGCATGCTAAGGGACATGAGTGACCTAGATGGAATTTGCTCATCCTACATAACATGATAAATGTCTAAGGGCCCAATATTGAACTGGACAAGGGTGACACAGTGTATGCCTTGTGTTCAATATAGACATGAGGGCAAAAGGGTAATTGTACAACACAAATATTATCACGGAAAAGGTTTGGTCAGATCACATGACATTTTCGTGACTTGGGTAACAGTGATGTGTTGCTAGATACCGCTCACTGTTTATTATATTAAATGTGTGATTTAATATAATTGCCAACGTCGCGAAAACCTACAGGGTCACACACATAAGGACAGGTTGATGAGAGATAGAATAAATAAGGAACACCGTAAGATACGGTGCACTTAAGTATAATACGGAAAGTGGTAAGGTACCACGTGGATAAGTGATATATGGTACATCATAAGGTATGATGTCCATAAGCTTAATTGGGCTTTTAGCTTATAGCCTTAATTGGGCTTTTAGCTTGTAGCCCACACGAGTGATTCTATAAATAGATCCCTTGTGATGAAGCAATTTCACTTGATGCATTTTCGTTTTTGATTCTCTCTCTCACTCAAGGTTTCCGTTCGTGATCAGCTAGCACTGTGACCGGAAGCGATCTGTTCGTGTGGACTGAGTAGAGGCGTTGTTCTTCATCAACGCTCGTGATCACAACATCAAAGGTCTGAATCGCCACAAGAGGTAAATATTTCTATCACTGACCATGCTCATTCGTAAGGATTGATAAAGGAAATTTTTAAATTCCACTGCGCTTTTGATCGCAATTTTCCTTCAGTGGTATCAGAGCCACTTACGAAACCATGGATCTGATAGTTGTTTATGTTCTATATTTTCTGTTTTGATTCGATTAAAACCAGAATGAATTGAATAATAAATGAGTAATTAAATTTGGCATCTGTTGTGTACGATTTGGATGATTGATGTTGACTATGCTTCGGAATCCGATATTAGTATGGTGAAGCAGCGATACATCGATCGTCCATAGGTTACACAAATAAGATCGATCACTTTTATATATGATATAAGTAAATCTGATGCAACGATGGTATATGGGATATATTGTTTCTGTTTCGTTCATTCAAACACTTGATGATTGTTATTCCTTTGACTGATCACTGTTCATATGCTTCGGAACCTGACGTTAGTATGGTGAAGCAATGGCATGTGATTAATCATACTGAATTATCAATTGAAATGTGTTTGACAGCATGAAACTGTTGCATTAGGGTTCATGACGGCACAAGGGTTGTGTTGTTGCAAAGTTATGCGATTAGGGTTGTGAATGCACAAGAGTTGTGCGAAAATGACGCCGATTTCAAATGAATTGTTCATTAAAATTTTGCGTCGGGGCGCTGCCCCTGACAACCCCGCAAAGGGGCGCTGCCCCCTTGACCCCCATCCGCTCGTCCGCTGACTGGGCAGCGGAACCCCCGGCTAACTCTGCGTAGTGTGATCAATCGTCGAAATTTAATTTGCCTTTTTTTTAATTAACAAAATTTAAACTAATAATAAAAGTGTGTTTATTATTATTGTCTTGTGGTGATCAGTTATGGCCTTAGTTTTTCCTTTATTTTGTTTTGGGATTGTAAAATACGGCCTGCGTGTCGTGCCTCTCTCTAAAATTCTTGATGTAACTTCTTTTCTCATCTCACTCCCTCGTATGTAAAACGAGTTTCTTTTATGTAATGTAATGTTATGAAGAAAGAGAAGAATACAATATCAAAGGAGGATAACCTTGGAGATCTTGCTTAGAGAAGTTTATATCGTTATTAGGTTAGCTTAGGTTCTCTCATTGGCTTGGGAGAACAATTGCGCTAGGGGCCATAACTGTATCCTTTTATGTATATTGATGCATGTGTTTGTATGTTGATGCATGAGAGAGACGAATTGCATGTTAAGCCGGTGAGATCAAACTAATAACAAAATCCCTCAAGTTAAATATTAAGTTCATGCTTTCTAAGTTTTAGCACTCATCAAGACTAGTATCGAACAATGTAGGTTTCGCCTACGCGAGGTGCATGTTCTATATTAGTAAGGTACGATGGGATAATTGTAATATCCAACTGCTAAAACAATGGGTCAAACTTAACTAAACACATTATAATAAGATTATACATGTTTAGAAGCAAGAGTTGGGAATGATTCATATGATGAATTAGAATAAGGAGTTATTCACCCAACTGAAAATATTCGAGAGTTGTATGAGATACAATTGGAAGGAGTTCCTACCTAAATAATCTAGTTTTGTGTAATCAGCCTAACATTGACTTAGAACGAAGTGAAATGTGGATCTCGACCCACTAGAAAGTCTT